CATAACTTATAAGTTATTTTTTTCCTTGTGTCCTGGAGAATTTTTTATCTTTTATTTTTGATAATTTGTCAATGATGCATCTAGATATATACCTTTTATTTAAAAATTTAGGTATGCTCTCTGCTTCCTGGACATCAATATTTAATTCATTCTTTAGGTTTGGGAAATTCTCAATTATTATTTCTTTGAATAGTGTTTATGCTCCCATTTCTCTTCTCCTTCTGGGATCCCAATTATTCCTAAATTTCCTCTTCTAATTGAGTTTGATATTTCTTGTAGTTTCCCCATCTTCCCTTTGCATTGTTTCCTCTCTCACTGTTTTTAAAAAAGATTTATTTATTTATGCATACAAGAACTGGGGTACAGGCCAGAGGTGCGGGGGTGAGAAGATTCACCAGAGACAGAGTAGGGAACAGAACAGGCAGACTGACTGAAATACACTGCTGAGGGGAGCAGCGTGGAGACAGGAGAGGTCTGCTGCGACATGTGGGTAGCTCCCTGGTCAGGGATCAAATTCATGCTGCAGTGGCTGCGCATAGCTTTATAGGTTGCGTCCTAACCCCTTGCGCCACCAGGGAGGCCCTGTTTCTCTTTTTTAAATGTGTGATGTACATTTGAATCTTCTGTTTCTGAAACTCTTTCTGAAACTTTCTTCTCCCTGTTTAATTCTATTTAAAGAGCTTTCTAAATTCATCTTTTTTCCTGATCTTTTTATATATTCGGTCTGTTTGGTAAAGCATACTCTTTGTTCCTAGATCTTCTTTCTAAGACCTTACACCTCCCTATCTGCCTTTGTTTGACCTTCCAGCATTTTTGTTACTGTTGTTTTGAATTTTTTTTCTGATAGGTCCTTTATTTCTGTATCCTTAATATTTGTTCCAGGACTTCTCTATTTTTCTCATTTTGCTTGTTCATCTTTTGTTCAGATGTTCCTTGTTTTCTAGGCATGTGTGTTGCCTAATTTGCTTGTGTGTGTGTGTGTATTTGAGAGAGAGAGAGAGAGAGAGAGAGAGAGAGAGAGATGTCAGAGAGAGAAAGAGAGAAATAGAGTGGGACACTCTGTAATTAGTTTTGTTTGTTTTGTTTGTTTCTCTTCTTAGTTTACCTTGTGGGGGTAGGTGGGGACTCAGAGATTTCATACTTGATCTCAATTTGATGGGTAAATTTGGTCACGTCAACTTTCATTCCACAGCAAGCCGCATTCTGTGCTTAGGTTGTTGTCTTAACTTCCCAGCCTGCCTCCCTGCAGCTTCTTTCTCCCATGGGTCGTGATCTCTGAAGTTTGAGTCGTCCAGTGGGTGAGCTGGGTTTGAACCACCAAACTCACTCTGCGGGACTGAGCTGTGCCTGTTAAGCAGATGGTGCTGCATCCAACGGTGTAGGTTGGGCATATGTCCCCTTCTCACTGTTGTTACCAACAATGGCTGTTCCCACCCTGCTCCACCCCTACCTTTGCTGATGCTTCTGTGGGGCTGCAAGATCTGTGTGCCATTTGTTTATTTTTGTCATTTATAACTGGTCTTCTATGATCTTGTCTGGAGACATTTTTGGTGATTACTACTTGGGGCCAGGGTGCTACTGGTATCTAGAGGTATTGTTCCAGGATGCCATAAACATTCTACATTGCATGGGACAGCCCTCCCAATAATAAGTTATCTGACCCCAAATGTCCATACTGCTGAAGGTTTAGAAACTCCGATTTATTGATATGATCACGTGGTTTTTTTTTTAAGATTTATTTATTTATACAAGAACTGGGGTACAATCAGAGGCACGGGAGGGTGAGAGGATTCACCAAAGACAGAGTGAGGACCAGAACAGGCAGACAGACTGAAGACACTGCTGAGGGGAGCAGCGGGCGTGACAGGAAAGGTCTGCCGTGCCATGTGGGTTTCTCCCTGGCCGTCCGGGAATGGAACCGGCGCTGCAGAGGCTGTGGACAGTTTCACAGCGCTGCGCTCAACCCACTGCACCACCAGCGAGCCCTGATCATATAGTTTTATATTATTAATATATAGAGTATTATATTAACTAGTTTTCAGATGTTAAACCAGTTCTGCATATCTGATATAAATACTACTTGGATATGGTATATGAAACTTTTTGTGTTACTGGTTGCCATTCAGTATTATTTTGTTACAGGTTTTTTACACCTGTATGGTGGTTATTGATTTGTAGTTTTCCATTCTTTTGGTGTGATTGACTTGTATATTATTTTTCCTGAAAAATGTACCGTGTGTGTATTGAGGTGGAGTAGTCCATATATGTCACATCAAGTTGGGTAGTAATGATGTTCAAGCCTTCCATATCCTTCTTGATTTTCTGTTCTGTCATTTCCTAAGAAAAAAGTATTGAAATATTACACTATAATAGTTAAATTGTTTTTCCTGTCCTGTCTTCAACATATTTTGGAGCTGTTAGTAAATGTATGTACATTTATAATTATAGTATCTTGCTACTATATTGATTTTCTTATCATTACAAAGTGTTCTTTGTCCTTAATATTTCCTGTCTTTAAATTTTTCTAATAATAATAAAGCTGTCCCAACTGCCTTAAAGTTGCTGTTTGCAGAGATTGTCTTTTTTATCCTTTCACTTTCAATTTATTTGTCTTTGAACCATTGTGTGTGTCTTAAATAAACCAAATAGTTGGGTTTTGCTTTTTTATCCAGTCTAACAACTTTGCCTTTGACTATTTAGTACATTCACACTTAATGTAATTATAAGTATGGTTCAATTCATGCCTACCATTTGCAATTTTCTATATGTCTTCTTTTTTCTTCTATAATTCCTTTATCGCCACCTTAAACATATATTTTTAGTAATTTAATTCCTCTGAATTTTTTTAAGGTATCTTTTAAATAGTTATTATTCGTGATTTGCTCTGGAATTGCAGTAAGGATCTTTAACTTATTATAAGCTACTTCAGGTTAATACTGTCTTAACTCTGGAAAATATAGTGACTTATTTCAGTACAGCCTGTTTTCCCCCCCTCTTTTATACTGTTATTTTCACATATATCTTTTTATAATATAACCCCATCAGTGCAGTGTTATAATCATTACTTTAAACAATCCTATCCTTTTTGAAGAAATTTGGAGATGAGAAAAATTAAATATACATATATTTATATTTATATTTACTACACTATTTACCATTTTGAGTACTCTTAGAATTCCTTTCTCTAGACTTGAGTTTCTGTCTGCCTTTATTTCCTTTCAGCTTGAAAGATTTCTTTTTAAGTTTTCTTGTATGGCAGTCTTGAGAGGAATGCATTTTAAAATGTCTTTATTTCACCTGCATTTGTTGACGGCTAGTTCTGCTGGCTATAGAATTCTTCTTTGACAGCATTTTTTTCTCAATATTTAAATATTCCATTCTCTTTGTATGTCATATTTTTGTTACCCTGCTTTGTTGATTTATTTTTCTGTTGTTGCTCTTAAGATTTTTCTTTGTTTTTAGCAGTTTAACAATGATGCATCTTGGTATGAATCTTGGAAGTTTCATCAAATGTTAGTCATAAGTTTATAAAAAATTTTTTTCTTACTCCTTTCTTGGTGGGACTCCTATGATATGTATATTGGTAAGCTCAATGTTTTCTCCACTGAGGCTCTATTCTTTTTTGTTTCCTCAATTTCCCCCCCTATATTTTTCAGATTGTTTAATTTCTGTTGCTCTGTTTTCAAGGTCACCTAACTCTTTTTTTCTGTCATCTCAGATCTGTTATTAAGTCTATCTAGAGAATTTTTCATTCAGGTATTATATTTTCAATTAGAATTTCTTTTTATGAATTACATTTCTCTATGGAGAATCTCTATTTGTTGAGTCGGTGTGATCATATTTTCCTTTACTCTTTTGAATATGCTTATATAACCTGTTTTGAAATCTTTGTTAAGTCAACCTACTGGGCCTTCTTGAGTATATTTCTTTTGATTGGTGTTTAGGTTTTTACCTATGTATGAGTCACTCTTTTAACTTTTTTGGTAAACTGTGACTAATTTAGATAATGTATTAACCCTAGATTCTTATTTAATTTTCTTAGGGTATTTTAAAAATAGTTAACCTGGCCCCCCATGCACGCACATGAAGAAACACTAATGTAACCGAACATTTTTTTTAAATTGTAATTTTCAATTTTTTAAACTTTGTTTCTTAGTGTTTATCCTCATGTCTACAATATTAAGTGGTCAGCCAATCATTTGGAATGAAGTTGTGCTCAAATAGCTCAGGCTTTTATCCTCTACTGATTGATATATCTGGATTCAGGAGTACAGCCATTTCTCGTTTGCTTTGACTTTTACTTTCTACATGTGTGATTCTTCATTTCACTGATGATGTGGAGAGAGGTCTAGCTTTTCTGTGGACACTTCATTTCCAGGATTTCCTGTTAAATTTTCTGCTTGTTTGCCAAGCAGACTCCAATTTCAGACTAGTAAAAGAGCAACTTTTTCTATTTCCAGCAAGTTATTTACTTTAACTGACAAATTTGCAGGGGGTTGTCTTTCTCTCCAGATAGAGTTAGCTCCCTTTGGCAATAAAGCTGCTGGTTTTCATGGCTTGTATTGCCCTGGTAAAGCTGTTGTTCTCCAGAGAACTGAAGATAGGTGAATGGGAGCAGCCCTAGACAAGAAGGGTGTAAACCCAACCGTTGTAACAAGGCTCTAGCAGTTTCTCAGTAATTTGTTGTGTGCCTGTTGGTTGATTTTCCAGAGTCCTGAAATGGTTGTTTTTGGTAATTTTTGTTCAGTTTTTAACTGGCATGTTAAAGAGAGAACTTGACAACTTCTTTATCTACCCTGCCCCACAAGCCCAGTGTTATTGTATTTTATAAAAGCATGCACACACACACACACATACACACACGTGCACGCAAATGAAATAGAATTTTCCAAAATACAATTAAATTAAAAATAGCTGGGCTTGGTCTTTCTCTTTGGGAACTGGATTACATGTTAGTTTCAGATCATGTTTAATGTATTTTTACCTTTTCATTCTTTCAGATTCATCAGGATTCATTTTTGATTTGCAGTCCAATACTGTACTGGCCCAGGGAGGAGCTTTTGAGAACATGAAAGAGAAGGTATGGCTAATTACTATGGATGGTAAGCTTGAATGTCATAGTAAAATTTAGGTACTAATACTTTTAGTGGCTATACAAATTCATTAAAAAGGTGAAATTTTTGACAAAAGAGAATACCACTGTGTATCAGAAAGTAACCATGAAGGTTTTGAATCAAGGCCTGTTATGTGCAAACCTGACATTCTTTGCATATGTTCATATATATTCATTCAAATTCTGTTCAAGATATCTCAATGTTAATTAATGTTATATTACTTATATGGCTAAATTTATCTCATGGCAGTCTGAGTAGGATTTCTCATTCACTTGAATAGGATTCTTAAGTTCAGGAAACTTCACAGCAAGAAAATAAATCAATCTCCCAAGAAAAATTCCTTTAAAAGAAAACCAGGTGTTTTTAGTAATATGATCTCTGAACAGCTATATTGAGACAAACATAAAACGCTTTATGTACATATTCTGTCTTATAAAAAAGTATATTATTGATTATGGAGTCATGGATTTATATGGTTTAATAACACTTTCAGATTTTAAGTTATTAGAATCTTACTTTTATCTTTGAATCTGTTAGGTTTTACCTAATGTCAATTTTCTAGTTAACCAGAGCTTAGTTTTCTGCACATCTCAAAAATGTGAAGATTACTATATGAGTTCATGTATTTCTTTCTTTTTTTTTTTCCCCAGCATGGCAGAGGTTCTAGCTTGTCTTGTTGTCGTTAGAAAAGTTAAAAAACTTTTAAAACACAATTATCATTGCCAAAAAAAAAAAAGAGAGAGAGAAACAGACAGAACCAAGGAAATGGGATACCATTTGACAGTTCTGTGGCAAGTGTGTCTGGGATTCATGTTGGGCTCATTTTAAAAAACAAAATCTGCTAGTTCTGTCCGTGGAAAAGACTAGAAAGAATGACTCCAATAGCAATAAACACTCTTTAACACTTACATCTTGGTTTCTGTACCACTGCCTACAAAAAGAACCAGATCTTCTAGGAGAAATAGCCAATTTCATGTTGTATGGTAAGATAAGAAATGAAAATTATAAGGGCTGGAAAGGAAGAAAGAAAACTTTATTTTTAGACAGTGTAATGATCCACATAGAAAAACCAGGAAAGCAACAAATTATTAGGAATAATAAGAGTTTATTAAAGTGGCTGGACATAAAATGTTATACAAAAATAAAATCATACGCAATTACTATAAGTTGTGTATTTTTAATCTCAAAAATATAAATTGTTAGGAATAAATCTGACAAAAATTTTGGTATCTGTTTTAAAGTGCAATTTGGTATTTTCTAATTAAATTATAGATATCCTACTATTCAGAAATTGTACTAGTGCTTATATTTGATAGAGATGTTCTTTTGCTGCTTACATAAGACCCTTTTTCCCCCCATTGGTAACAATGTGTTGAACTTTCTTTTAGACACTGAGGATTAGTGCAAATAAGCATAGAAATGTTCATTAGTGAATTTTTCATAATATCCAAACTTTAGAAACAATATACATATCTACCAGTAAGAGAATGAATAAGTGGGCTACCTTCATACAATAAAAATACTATATAACAGTTAAAATAAATAAATGAGATATATTTTTCAAAATGAAAAAAACTATGTGAAGAAAGCAAATTGAACATAGACATATACAATATAATATTCATGCAATGCAAAGCAATAGTGTATATTACCTGTGGATACTTACATCATGAAAGTATGAAAATATTGAAATAGCACTAAATTCAAGGTAGATATCTAGAGAGAAGGAATGGATTTATGAGGGACTTCATTAAAGCTTCATATGCACCTATTTTATTTTATTAAACTGGCTATGACATAATGGTGTTCATTATGTTTTGTGTGCCTGAAATAGTTTATAATAATTTACATTATCACTACAAGTTATCATTACAGCATTAAATACAATTAAATGCTATAAGTATAAATGTTTCCAAAAATGCTATATAAAAACCTAAGTCGTTGATGATTCATTAAATTTTCTTTCTCTATAATATGCTAAAAAATGAGGAAATGTTGATACTAAATTAATACCTAGTACCTAAATTAAACCATCCTTTCTTGAAATAAAATCTAGCACATTTCTAGAAATGATCTGCTTTTCTAAGTTTTGAAATTAATTTTTTTATGTTGTTATCACTTATCTGTAAGTCATTCCCAAGAGATGGCTGTATGTACTCTCACTGGTAGTATACAGTGATACCTGTTGTTAGAAATAAAATGTTATTCTTTCTGTTATTCTTTGTAATGGGCTCAGCTAAGTGACACCTACTGATGTAAAATTAAATGACCCTGTTATCTTTTCCAGATAAATGCTGTGCGTGCTATAGTTCCCAATAAAAGCAATAATGAAATCATCCTGGTTTTGCAGCACTATGATAACTGTGTGGATAAAACAGTACAAGCATTCATGGAAGGTAATTCTAACCCAGTTTTTCAATAAGTTTAATTAAGTAGAAGTTGCTTCAAACTTTTATAACATTCAGTCAGCAACCTGGTGTTTCATAGATGATACAGGAAATCCCATGATAACGTGTATTCCTAAGCTTTATGATATCTGGAATATGAGACAAGCGGAGAAAACTCTTTTTGAGTCATAATAGTCTGATTGGTATATAAGAAGAAATTGTGTGGCCAGTGGTGTTAGGGACTTGACTGGATTTGGATTGAGTAAGAATTTAAGAAACTTCTAATGACAGAGCAGTGATTCAGAGCTCCAAACTACAGATGGCAAATTTAAAGACTCAACATTCTCTTCCAGGCTCAAATACGATTTAGCTTTCCTCCAGTGAGTGAGTCAAGTGTATGGGTTTGAGTTTCCTTATATAATATATAGAAGAGTGGAGGGCTTAGTCAATCTTTAGGTTTATAGATTTGAGGAGTATTTTACAAATGTTTTCCACATAATTCGTTTGAGAGAAACTTTACCTGAAGCTTTTTTGTCATTGAACAGTGAAGTCAGATTAAGTCTCTGATTATACGTTTCTAAATTTGCCAGTATAGAATGAACAGGTCCTAGTATACTGTAAGGTTTTCCTTCATCATCTGTTTTCTTTATAATATTGGTATTTGGATGTAGGATGGTGTACAGCTCTCTCTAAAACGGTATCGCCAAAGTTGTGTGTAACTTGGAGGAGGGAGGTGGGGAGAAAAGGGGATGGTATACTTGGGCTACAACCGGTCATCTTTGTATTTGGTTTAAGCTGTATCAATTTTTTAAAGCTTCAAAATGGTCACACTATATTATATTAGTTTCTTCTTAGAAGAACTCACTGAGGAGATTACATGGAGAAGGGGGATCTAAATGGGCAGGCTTCCTTTAGAAGGAAAGCATGATATAATAACCTTATATTATCTCAGAGACTTGCTCCTTAACTTTTCCTATAAGGAACTTTGGAAGTTCTCCAGCAATTACAAAATGCAGGGACCCTAATTCCTGTTTGATACCATGTATGTGATAGGAGAGGAAATTTGTAATTGGTTTCTCTTTTCAGGTAGTGCCAATGAAGTACTCAAAGAATGGACAGTAACAGGCAAGAAAAAGGTAAAAATGAAATTAAATTTAAAACTCTGAATTGATAATTACATCATAAAGAAATTAGGTTCTGCAAAAAAAATTTGAAAGAAGATTTACATATGCATATTAGTTTACATGATTCAAAAAAGTCTTCTGTGCCCTGAAACACAGCCATGTACATAGAGTACCCACACAATCTGTTCTGTGTGGTTTCAAGACAGGAAACAAGAACTTTGTCACAGTGTAGTTGCTGAGGAGATAGTAATATTAGGCAGGGATAAAACAAGAGAAGCTCTCTGGGACAGTCAGGCTTCACTAGAGAGAATGATCTGGTCCAGTGATTTTTAACACCATTCTTAACACAGTTCAGTTAAAATAATCCACATTTTTAATTCAGGCAACTGTATTGTAATTTCAGTTATTAATAAGCTTTGATTTAAAGCATAAAGAGGGACTTTGCTACTATTAGCTCTGCAGAGGGATCTGGTATTCTAATTTAGAAAAGTAGAAAGCACTTTAATTGTGGAGTCAGGTGAGAACTGGATTTATATCCTGTTCTACTACATGTTGGCTTGTGTCTTGGGTAATTGTTTAACCTGCGTGTGCCTTGTAATACTAACAAATAGAAGTACCTAATACAATGTCTAACACATTAATTCTCATTCCTTTCTTATCTACTAAAGTCAAAATGCTGTCCCCAGTAGATAATAGCTAGTCTCAGTGTTTCCCTCAGATTTACTCTAAATCTAGCTATGTCAGTAAATGCTTAAAGTATTTAATCATGTGTCTCTGTGAGATCTCTTTGGGATGTTGGATGTTCTAGATGCTGGAGTTCTACACTGCTTTCTAGATGACTCTAAATCCACTTCATTAGGAATTCTGTCAGGTCCTGACCAAACCAGTCTTGGCTTCAGTCACCCTGAGAATTTTTTCAAAGGAGAACCTAATATTTACTATAGATTCTCCTGAAGCTCTCCATAGCTGTAGGTTTGAATGTTTGATTAATTTCTTTCCATTACTTTCACTCAACATAAATAGCTATGTATGCTATGCAGGCCACCAGTATATTAATCTATGAACCCAGAATTATAAATTATTAATAATGTAAGGTACATATCAAGCTGGAAAATTATTTGTTGGGGCACAAAAATTTCTTAAAATTTAGAGGAAAAAATGCCTCCATTTCAGTTACATTTTCATTTGGGCAGTTTCAAATACCCAATTCATCTGGTTAACTGTTCAATAGAATGTCACCATGAGCAGTAACTGGGCTAGTTGTTATAGTCATGGCATAGTGGTATGAAAACTTAGCCAATTTACATGGAGAAGTAATTAATATAAAAAACAATGAGAGCTGTGGGAGGAGAAAATTATATCTAGAGTCCTGTCAGAGATGGCCCCAGAGAGGGTTTTGGGGAATGTTGATTCAGTCATGTCAGTCTAGCCTTGGGAATAGAATTGCTAGTAGAACTGTGAGTTGACAAGAATTAAAAAGTAAAGGACTTTTTTGTATGTTTTAATTTTACTACCTCAGTAAGTAAGATATTCATGTGGCTCAAAGTTCCAAAAATGTTAATGCGCTGAAATGTTTTTATTCCATCCCTGTTCCTTAGCCATTTGGTTCTCCACCCCAGAAGTAAATACTGTTATTTCTTATGTAACTTCCAGGATATTTTATGCATTTATAAGCAAATATAAATATATAGTCTCTGCTCTTTTTTAATGTAATGTATTTTAGAGCTTGTTTTATATCAATAAAAAAAGTGGTTTATTGTTTTTTGTATATATATAGTCATCCTACTGTTTGTACGTACCGTAATTTATTTAACCAGTTGTTTATTGATCAGCATTTGGATTGTTTTTCCTATCCTTTGCTGTTCTTAACAATACTTCAATGAATAGCCTTATATATATTCAATTTTATACATCAGTATTTGTTTAGGACAGATTCCTAGAAGTGGAACAGTTGAATCAAAGGATGTGTGCATTTGTAATTTTGATAAGTATCACTGGATTGCCATACACAGTACCACTCTTACTCATACAGGTGATACAGGAGAATGCCTGTTTTTTCTCTATATTCAACCCTGTCCATCCTATGTGTTACAAAACTTTTTGATTTTTGTTCATCTAGTAGATAAGAAATGATACTGAAGTACATTATATATTTTTCTCAATTTTTTTCACATAAAATTTATGATCTTCACTGTTTTTAAGGGTACAGTTTAATGGTATTAAATATATTCATAATGCTGTACCACCATACAACTCCAGGATTCTTACTAATTTTATACCCATTAAACAGTAACTCCCCATTATCCTTTCCTCCCAGTCCCTGACAATAACGATTCTACTTTATGTCTCTGTGAATTTGACTACTTCATCTAAGTGAAATCATACAGTGTTTGTCATTCTGTTACTGTCAGAGTTATCCATCAGTGGATAGTTTTGAGTTTTAGCTATTTAGCTGCTATGAACATGGGTATACCAATATCTTTTTGAGGCCCTACTTTCAATTCATGTGGGTATATGTCCAAAAGAGAAAATGCTGTATCTTCTGGTAATTCTAGTTTTAATTTTTTTTTTAAGAACTGCCATATTGTTTTCCATAGCAAATGTACTATTTTCCATCTTCCATGAGAGTTCCAATTTCTCCAAATCCTCCACAGCCAATAAAGTGCTGGTTGCTTTCTCTTTTGTTCATAGCAGCCTTCCTAATGAATATGAGGTGGTATCTCATAATTTTGATTTGCTTTTCTCTAATGATTAGTGATTTCAACATTTTTCATGTTTTTGTTGACTATTTGTACACATTAAAAAATTTTGGGGGGGATAGATGTGTGTTTATTTCATCACTATCCTTTATACCCTTTTGACCCTTTTACCCTCCCCCCTCTTAACCTCAGTAGTCTCACTTCCTTTATTAGTATTCTTTTTTTTCCCCAGAGAGATTCTTCTTCCTCTTTTTAATTGAGAGTTTACAACAGTAAGTTCCAAGAGTACTTTTTCTCACCATGCCCACCACTAAATATCTAGTCATCCATCACCAGCCAGCTGGCCCATGCTGTCATCACCATCCCCTTCCTTTGCTCTGGTAACCGCCATTCTGTTGTCAGAGCTGAAGGTATTGTTTTTGTTTTCTTTATATTCCACAAATGAGTGAAATCATTGTGGTATTTGTCTTTCTCCTTCTGATTTATTTCACTCAGCATAATTTCCTCAAGGTCCATCCATGCTGTCAAAAATGGCAAGATTTCATCTTTTTCTTTACTGGCTGAGTGTAGTATTTCATCGTGTATATATACCATATCTTTATCCATTGATTCATCGTTGGACACGTATCCATATCTTGACTGTTGTGAATAGAGCTGCAATAAATACAGGAATGCATATATCTTTTAGATAAGAGTTAGTGTTTTCATATTCTTCATGTAACTATCCAGAAGTGGGGTTACTAAGTGGTACTTCTAATTTTAATAATTGTTTTCATACTGACTGTGCCAGTTTACATTCCCTTCAGCAGTGCACGAGGGTTCCTTTTTCTCCTAATCTTCACCAACATTTATTATTTCTTGACTCTTTTTTGATACAGCCATTTTTTACCTGTGTGAGGTGAAATACCATTGTGGTTTTGATTTGCTTTTTGCTAATGGTAAGCCACATGGAAGGTCTTTTCATGTATTTGTTGGCTATCTGTATATCTTTTGTGGTGAAATGCCTTTTTAATTCTTCTGCCCATTTTTTAATCAGGTTTTTTTTTTGGTTGGCCATGAGTTTTTTTTTTTTTTTTTAAAGATTTATTTATTTATCATACAAGAGCTGGGGTACAGGCCAGAGGTGTGGGAGATGAGAGGATTCATCAGAGATGGAGTGGGGAACAGAACAGGCAGATCCACCAAGGTACACTGCTGAGGGGAGCAGTGGGCGAGTCAGGAGAGCTCTGCTGCGCCACATGGGTTGCTCCCTGGCTGGCCAGGGATCGAACTTGTGCTGCAGAGGCTACGGACAGCTTCACAGGCTGCATCTTAACCCCTTGTGCCACCAGGGAGGCGGTCATGAGTTTTCAATAAACATTTTCCTTTGTTAAATGTTCCACTGTGTAAACAGCCAATATTTATCTTTGTCTTTCTGACTTGCTTTATTTTATTGCACATAATTCCTTCAAACGCCTTCCATTTTGCTGTAAAAGGCAACATTCTGCTTTTACTTATGGCTAAAAAAATATCCTATTGTGTGGATATACTGTATCTTAATCCAGTCCTCTGTCAGTGGGCACTTAGGTTATTTCCATGCCCTAACTAGCTTTTTTTTCCCCTCAGGAAAGGGGCTCAGAGGAGGTGAGCCTGTAATAGTCTTTACTCTGCCACCATCTTGCTCTCTTCCCCTCCATTGTGTTTTTTAATTCCCATTTCTTTGTGTCTTCTATTTTAGTTTGTGGTTTTTTAGTTTTTCCTTACTTGTTTTGATGCAATTATAAATGAGATTGTTTTCTTGATTTCTTCATTTTCTACCTCATTGTCTGCGTATTGGAAGACAACTGACTTTACATATTGATTTTGTAACTGCTGCTTTCTCAACTGATACAGTATTTCAATTAGTTTTTTAGTGGACTCTTTAGCTCTTCTATATATATTATCATGTAATCTGCAAATGATAACTATTTCTTGTTTCCCAACTTGGATTGCTTTTATATCCTTCTCTTGCCTAATTGCTCTATCTAGTAGTTCTTTTTTTTTTTTTTAAGATTTATTTATTTATGCATACAAGAACTGGGGTACAGGCCAGAGGTGTGGTGGGTGAGAGGATTCACCAGAGACAGAGTGGAAAACAGAACAGGCAGACTGACTGAAACAAACTGCTGAGGGGAACAGCGGGAGAGGTCTGCTTCACCATGTGGGTTGATCCCTGGCTGGGGATCGAACTTGTGCTGCAGTGGCTGTGGTCAGCTTCATAGGTTGCGTCTTAGCCCCTTGCCCCACCAGGGAGGCCCTGTATCTAGTACTTCTAATACTATGTTGAATAGTAGTCATGAAAGTGATCATCCTTGTCTTATATCAGATCTTAGTGAAAAAACTTTCAATTTTTCACCATTGAGAATGATGTTAGCTGTGGGTTTGTCATCTATAACCTTTATTTTGTTGAGGTATGTCTGTCCACAGTTTTTTGAAGATTTTTTATCACAAATGGATTTGAATCTCATCAAATGCTTTCTTGCCATCTATTGATAAGCTTATGTGACTTTTGTCTTTCCTTTTATTGATATAGTGCATTGCATTGATTGATTTTCTGATATTGAACCATCTGTGTGCCCCTGGAATAAATCCCTCTTGGTCATATTGTATGATCCTTTTAATGCATTGTTGAATTTGGTTTAATGAGATTTTGATGAAGATGTGCATTAGAGAAATTGTCTGTAGTTTTCTTTGTGTTATGGTGTCTTTGTCTGGTTTTGGTATTAGGGTGCATGTTGATCCACTTTATGTTGTCATGGGCTAATATGTCCTGCAGGTTTTGTTTATTTTCTTCAGTTTTTTTCTTTCTGTTGCTGAGTTACAGTTATTTCCATTGTTCTATCTTCAAGTTCACTTATTCTTTTTTCTGCCTGTGCAATCTACCATTGAATCCTTCATGAATTTTTCTCTCAGTTATTGAACTTTTCTGTTTCAAAATTTCCTTTTTCTTTTTAGTTTTTTTCTTTCTATTGATATGTCCATTTTGTTCTTCATTTTCTTCATCCTTGTCTTCCTTTAATTCTTTGATTACAATGATTAAAGTTTCAATGTATCTGCCATCAGGTCTTTTTCAAGGGACAGTTTCTGTTGATTCATTTTTGTATTGTTTTGAATGAACCGTTTCTTTGTGTACCTTCTGATTTTTGTTGTTGTTGTTGAAAACTGGACATTTGAATGGTGGTAAATCTGGAAATCATATTCTCCCCCTTTAGGTTTGCTGAAGTTTTTTTTTTTTATTATTATTATTTATTGCTTTCCCCTGTTTGTTTTTGGATTATTTTAAGCTCTCTCTGCCATGCGCATATCTGAGGTGTAAACTTGAGATCACAGCTCTTTTGAGCCTTACCTGGGCACATGTGGTCTCTTTGAGATTTTCCCTGTATAAGGTCTTGTATTTGAAAGTACTAGTCTTTAATATTTGGATCCCAAAATGGAAAAAAAAGGACAAAAATGAAGTGTGGGGGAGGAGATTATCCCTTTAATTCCTCCTGAAAGTCACTTCAGCCAAAAGGGGAAGGGCTTATATCAATGGCTGCCTGTCTCTCTCTCTCTACCTTTGTGATCAGAAGCAACAATCAGTGATCTTAACACAGATCCCTGGTATTGGACATAGGGTTCCTTTGCCTACTCCGGCATACATAAGCTGTGATAGCTGCCTGTCCCTCACTGAGGGGGCAGTTAGTGTAAGAGGTGGGAGGCTGCTACTGTGCTAAGAAATGAAATTGACCAAAATTAACCACATATTACCATCTAAGTATTCCCCTGGAAACTGCAAATCTTCAGTAGATTCCAGACTTCCAAAATAGTTACTTTAGACAGATTTTGCTGTTGTACTCATCATCTGGGTAGAGAGACAGATTCCTGACGCTTCTCTGTCATCCCAGAATCCTGTGTAGTACAGTTTTAGTTTATGTCTCATATAAGACAAAGGCTGCATTTAACTTGGTACTATACTTTTTTTTTCTATTGGGTTATTCTGTATTTTTTCTTAGAACTCTATATATTTAGCTTGTTATATATGTTACATATATTTTTTTACATTTAGTAATTTAACTTTTGATTTTGCTTATGGTAGATTTTGCTGTGGATAAATGTTTGTATTTGTGTATTCTAGTTTATCCAAAGCATTTTATACATGATTATTTTAGTCAGTAATTCAAGCTATTAAAAAATGTCTTCAACTTCTGGAAGAGTGTATGAGAAATTAATAACATCAGTTGCCTTTTGGTTTTGGGGGATCTTCTTTTTCTTTTCTTTCAAATCTTTTATAACCATTAGAACAAAAAGAAGAAAAGCAAACCAAAACCTGCAGCAGAAGCAAGTAACAGTATCCCAGATTCCAGTAAATCGGTTTCCTTTCAAGAAGAGCAGTCTGCACCTTCTTCAGAGAGGGGTGGTGTTAATGGTTATCATGTCAATGGTGCCATCAATGACACTGAGTCTGTAGACTCATTCAGTGAAGGTATGGAGACACTTTCAATAGATGCCAGAGAATTGGAGGATCCAGAGTCTGCCATGCCAGATATGCTGGATAGAACAGGTGAGTTTATTAACAGATCTTTGAAAAGTTGCATTCAGTTGAAAAATATAGGGACTTCCTGGATGAGAAGTCAATCAATAAATTAAATCTAATTAGTCTTTTATTTTTCAGTTTTGTTCTCTTATGTGAGTCACATTTTGCAATTATCAAAGGCCTGGAAATATAAATCTTATTTCATTGTCTTATATATTTGTTGTCTAGATCACTAGTCCCTTTGTTCTTAGAGACTAGAGAGGGTGATCTTAAGATGTTTTCTTTAATTTCACACTTGAGGAAAATGATGATGGTGAGTCATTATTATTCTAAGACCCAACACAGTAAGGAATATATAATAATAACTATGCCATGGTTTCATTAGAAGTAGACTTGATTTTTATAGTCCCACATTTATTTTCTATAGAGTTGAGATTAATGTTAGTTGTATATTCAAATATCTTACACTTTTTGTTTTACTACTTTGTAGCGAAATTGGGAAGATATTGGGAATATCTCCTTTAAAATCGTTTTTAAATTGCTTGATTGTTAATCTGGTTCCCCTTGCTCTGTTTCAGCTGGCTTTCACATAATGCCTGTGTTACATGAACTATATCATCTATTTTGGATCTTCTTTCATTGATTATTTTTGCATACACACAAATACTTATAGAAGAATACAGCCCCTGCACTGCCCTCAAATAAATCAATGATAGTCATTTCCATTTTTCCCTGAGCTAGCTTTCTTCTCTTTTCTAGCTTTTTACCCTTTCCGTGCCCTAATGTTTTAAAAGCTCTTCTTTTCGGGCCTCCCTGGTGGCGCAGCGCTTGAGCGCTTGGCTGCGAAGCTGCCCGCAGCCTCTGCAGTGCCCGTTCGATCCCCGACCACTGGCAAGGGTCCCACATGGTGCCGCATGGTGCGGCAGACCTCTCCTGCCGCACCCGCCTGCTGCTCCCCTCAGCAGTGTACTTTAGTCGATCTGCCTGTTATGTTCCCCGCTCTGTCTCTGGTGAATCCTCTCACCCCCCACACCTCTGGCCTGTACCCCCATTCTTGTATGCATAAATAAATAAATCTTTTAAAAAAAAAAATAAAAGCTCTTCTTTTCCTGGGATAGGAGAAAACTCTTTTTTACATAACATAGTGTACAGAAGTTATCAGAAGCTGGTGATTTTGTCTGTCTTCATTTTCCCAGAGCTACCAGAAAGCTACCAAGGTACAGAGAATGAACTAAGCTATCTAGGGAGGAGTTAACACAGAATTCTTCATTAAAGATGCCAGTGTTAAGTCAGACACTACTAATAGATTCATCCAAGGTTTTGCTCTTTGGTCTATTTGTCAGCTGCTTTGTTCACACCTTTTTCTTTTCTTTTTTTAAGATTTATTTATTTATGCATACAAGAACTGGGGTACAGGCAAGAGGTGGAGGGTGAGAGGATTCACCAGAGACAGAGTGGGAACCAGAACAGGCAGACTGACTGAAGTACACTCCTGAGGGGAGCAGCAGACGAGTCAGGAAAGGTCTGCTGCGCCATGTGGGCAGCTCCCTGGCCGGGGATCGAACTCGTGCTGCAGTGGCTGCGGACAGCTTCATAGGTTGCATCTTACCCTCTTGCACCACCAGGGAGGCCCTGTTCACACCTTTTTAATAGGCATCTTTTTGCCTAAAACAGTTTTACCTTTTTGTATGTATGTATACTGCGTGATTAATTTACCTCTAAAATACTGTTGTTGTCTTTCATTGAACAGGGTCCGTGTTGGAGAATGGTGTCTCTGATTATGAGTCCAAGGCTTTGACTATGCATTCCACTCAGAATTCTCAACAAAATAGGAATGCTGGCAAATCTTCCTCAAGACCTAATACAGGGCCTCAGTTTTCAAATCTGGGCATGGAAGATGTTCCACTCTCCTCTACCAACAAAAAACTAGGTAAATCAGAGGCTATCTTCAAGAGAAATTTAAAAACTATATTTTTGGCTAAAGATAAAATTATCCCTTTTTTCCCCATAGATAAGGTTGCAGAAGAACAATTCTTTGTTGAATTATTTATTCAATATGAGCTGAATTTAATTAGTGAAGCTCATTTTCACCTCTCTAACGTAACTCTCAGCGTAGTACAGAAAAGCAAGTCTGAGACTATTAAACAAAAAGTTACAAGGGCTGAAAGCGTTTACTAGATTTTAAAAGAAATCCAGTTGAGATGAGGGAGAATAATAAGTAAAAAATTGTAAGTAAGTAAAAAATTGAAATAAGTAAAAAATTTATGTTGATACATTATAAACTTTGAATTTGTTAATTGTACATATAATTTTGATGTTGGTGGATATAGAAAGGTTGATAGAAGTCTTCGAAACTAGTTAAAATGTATTAGAGTAAGTGAATGTATTTAATCTCTGGAAAAATTGGATTACCCACATATAATACTTCAAACTCAAATTCTACTACAGAGAGAAATCCTTATCAATTTTGTAATGTCTATATGGTAAATTAAATTCTACTAAATCTTGTCATTTACTGAGTTTTGAATACCTAATAGGTTGGGGGTTTTTTTTTGGTCTTTTTTCATGTTTCTTTTCATTTTGGATGGTTTCTAAAATTGCTTTTTACAAATTTAATCTTTTTAAAACTTTTTTTTTATTAATGAAGTTCTATTTTATATTCTTGTTAATATTTTGACAATATAAGATTTCTCTGCTCATGAGTGGTCACTACAGCTGTCCCACTACCAGAGCACCCATAGTCCTCTGCCAAACTCTGTTGTGCTACCTCTGCCCCCAGATTTCACCTCTCCCCCTCCCAAAATTTATTTTTTTTAACCATTTGAAATCTGATAATCCCATCCAATATATTTTTCATAGCTGACAATGTTTTTTCATCTCTAGATTCATTTGGGATCTTTTAAAATATTTTCCATGTCTTTCCTTGATGTGCTTACACTTTCTCTACATTTTCAAACATAGTATCTGATTATATTTGTTTTTTTGATGTCCATATCTATGTGATTCCATGTGTCATTTCTGTATCAGTTTCTGTTAATTGATTTTACTCTTTATTGTGGATCATATTTTTCTGCCTCTTGTATGCCAGTATTTTTTTGTTGGATTCCAGACTTTGTGGATATTGCTGTTTTGTTTTTTTAAGATTTATTTATTTATGCTATTTATGCATACAAGAACTGAGGTATAGGCCAGAGGTGCAGGGGTGCAGAGACAGAGTGGGAACAGAACAGGCAGATCTACTGAAATACACTGCAGAAAGGAGCAGCAGGCAAAATAGGAGAGGTTTGCTGCGCCATGTGGGTAACTCCCTGGCCAGGGATTGAACTCTTGCTGCAGTAGTTGTGAATAGCTTCATGGTGCTAAGACTTTAACCCCTGCACCACCAGGGAGACCTCAGATTTTGCTTTGTTGATTACTAAGTATGTTTGTATTTCTTTAAATATTCTTGTGATTTATTCTGGGATCAAGTTACTTGGAAACAATTTGAAGCTTGCTTTTGAGCTTTTTTAGGTAGAACTGGAGCATCATTTAATTTAAAGCTAATTTACTTCATTACTGAGGCAGTACCATTCCAAGTGCTCTACCTGGTGCCCTGCTCTGACTATGTGAACATGAACTAATCTTGGCCTGGGTGAGCTCTGGACATTGTTCTCCTTGTTCCTGTCCAGTGTTTCATCCAGTGTTTCTTTTTCACTCTTTTCAGGTAATTTCTTCACACCAGTACACTCAGAATCCTCTGTAGCTCTCTGTACAACTCTCTCATCGTTGTGCTTCTCCCTCTTCTCCAGTACTCTGCCCTGATCATTCTACATACCTTTCCCTCCTTACCCACCCCCGAATTCTCAACTCTGTCCCCTCAATTCAGAGAGACCTCCAGGCTCATTTAGGATATTTCTTCCTTATATTGCAGCCTGGAAACTCCTGAGGCAGTCACAGTTCTCACTTTTGTTTCTGTTTTGTCATGGGAAAAGTGCTGCCTATTGTCCATTGTCTGAAAGCCCTTATTTCATGTATTTTGTCTGTGTGTATGTTCAGTTGTTTAAGACAGGAGGGTAAATCCAGTTTCTGTAACTCTATTTTGGCCTGGATACTTATCTATGTTGAGGTGTTGCATGGACATTTTAAATTGATACATCGTTATGTAAAAAAGTCACTGTATGATTCAAATGTAACAATGCAGAATTAAATATGGAGGCATGTATGACCTTCTTTTTAGGAAGCTAAAGGACTTGTAATTTCAAATTTTTGTGCAGTTAAATCATAATGCAACCCCCCCCAAAAAAAAATCTATGAAAACATAGTTTTTTGTCAAGGTAGATGTAGGACTGTAGTAAGAATATAGGAAACAGTCTACACATTTGTTATTTTACATGCTTAGGTGTTCAGCACCAATTTTCAAGATACCTATGCTCCTTTTTTTTTTTTTTTTAATTAATCCTTGATTTTTTTCCAAGGCTCCAATATTGAAAAATCTGTGAAAGACCTCCAGCGCTGCACAGTGTCTCTTGCACGGTATCGAGTTGTAGTTAAAGAAGAGATGGATGCTTCCATTAAGAAAATGAAACAAGCCTTTGCTGAATTGCAGAGCTGGTAAGTTAGATTGCATTTGATATCAGTAGCCCAAAAATGGTCACTTTAAAGATCATTCACCAAGTTCTTTAATTCCTAACTACTCTACATGATGGAAAGAGACTGAAAAATCCAATGATATATTTATCTTTTTGCATTATTTTATGTATTTCGGTCATAGTGTTGGAATGAGTGATACAGAGAATTCACAGTACTTTAGAAACGGTCTTGAGGTTAGTAGTTTGGAAAGGGATAAATATTTGTAGAATAGATCATGTATCCTTATTTTAACCAAAAATCCGTAACCAGTTACATGGGATATTTTAAAATAAAATTATAAGGTAGAAAATATCTCTTTGCTTTTTTACCTCCTTTTACCTTTCTAATGCACCTCATCTTAATAGTCTCTTCTGTCCCCCGTCATTAATCATTTGAAAGCAAAAAATTAAAATAAACTGTTCTGAACAATAACTGTGTGCTATGTAGGGGAAATACGGTTTGGTATAGTTAAAGAGGTTTGATGTTTTAAAAAAGTTGAATTATGGACTTCTCTGCCTGTTCAAGAGGGAACTATGCTATTTGTCAAATATATTTTATTATAGAATCTTTGGGGGGCATAAATGCATTCTAATATTTTGACTACTGGCGTACTGTAAATTTTAGATGTTAAGATGTCAACTGATAAGTCATAATTTCTTGAGGAGCTATTTGCATTTTCATAAGGGACTTTCTTGAAAATGAAAAAGCTGTAAGGACCACATTAAGTAAAATGATGGGAAGACAAGCTGCTAGATTGATGTTTAGGGATTTAGGCCTGTCTTCTCTGTATATTTGCAAGACTTGCCTATATCTGAGGTATGAGAGGAAGTGTTCACGACTAGAGAGAACCAGCATCACTCTTCCTTGCAACATCCTTCCATTTTCTTACCATCTGTGGACTTTCCTTAGGTCATTCTACCATGTCTCTGTTCACAAACACTTTGGTCACTTCATGCCACAACAGATAAGAGATAGAGGAATGTGGGTTGCCTCAGTTCTCCTGGTCTCTGGAATTAAATTTAGAAAAAATGAATTAACGAAAATAAAGTCTCCAAAACAATTGCTGACCCTTTTATCATTTGCAAAGTGTGGTATATAGTGTAGGTTCATTAAATCACCAAAACGAAAAATCTACTAGTTTACGCATGCTTTCCTGTTTCAGGTTTTATAACTGGAACATAGTATCATATTTTCTGTTGTTCTTAAATACATTTTTGCTCTAGCCAGCTTATGCATTGTGTCAAAACTTAACATTCATATTTTCTCTCCCATATGTTAATATCACCTTCCCAGCCTATTCGGATCTCTTATCTTTGTATTTTTCTAAATACAACTAACTTTTCCAAATTTGTCTTGTATTAAGCTCTAACATCTGAAAAATTTTCTAGGTAATGAATTTCTCCTCTTTCTAAACCCCTGGGAGGGAGGATCATGCCCTTTGTCCTAGATTATTATCATATAAGATATTGTTAGGTTATTTGGAAAAGAATGAAAAGCTAAGAGTAAGTTATCACAACTTTGTCTTGATAAGCCTTTCATCTCCTTGATTGTTTAGCTCACTGATTACTTGACATAGGATCTGATTCCATTCAGAACCAGCCTGAACCAGGAAATCCAGCTCTAGGAGAGAAATTTGTGAATTCCTGTCAACTTGGAAACCAAGGACAAGTGAAAAGGTTTTCCTGCCTAGGAACTGTGTTTTAGGATTGATTAGCAGGGGTAGCAACCAGGTCAATTTAACTTGAGGGAAGAGATTACCTACTCTTTCCTGCTGGTATAAGCCCTTTTTCTGGCTGATTGGATTTTTAAACTACCTTATTTCAATGCCCTTTGTAGCTACTACTTCAAGACTTAATTGGCAGTTGAGCTAACTTTATTTGGCACCAAACCAGAGCTTTGAGTCACTTAGGAAACCATTTTTTGTGTGTATTGGTTGGTTATAGTAGAAAAGAAAAGAATAGCTATCTAAAAAATATGCAACAGTAAATGTGCAACATATTATCCCTGATCGGACACTAGGGAAATTATACGAGTAACTGCTTTCACTTTGAGATCAAATGAAAGCTGACATACACCTGTGGGAAGGGCAGCTCAGAAGCTTTCCAGTGTATAAAACTTAAAATCTGTTCTCATTGGTGATTCAATTATAGACATCTCTAGGCCCAAGTTTACTTTTCTTAATTAATAAAACTTGCCTGACATTAGTTGACTTGAGTTTGAGGCTATTAAGCAGCAAAATAACGAGTACAGCCTGAGCTGGAATGTAGAAACTGCTTTGGTGACTCATATAATGTGTTGGTGAAAAATAGTAACAAGATAAATATTCAGCTTGCTTTTATATTAAAAATTCTATTTTATTGAAAATTCTATACTATTTATTTCCTTATTAAAAGGAAAAAATGGGTAAGAGAAAAAAAAAGACTGTCCAAAAATTTGAGATTATATGTCACAAAAGTCAATATAAGTCTATGCTTAAGATTTTGAAATTTTCCCTATGTGATTCCTCATTGACGAGCAAAAAGTAACTTCTTTTTATTTGAACTCTTCTTTTCTTTCTTACAGATGGCTACTAGTAGCCATTACAAGGGCTTTTAGTGATCCTGAAATTTAAAGTCCACATAGAGATGCTGAAAACTTAATAATCATTTCATGAACCAAAGTATTTTCAAAAATGTCTAAAAAGCATAGAAATAAAAGAGTGGACCAGTGCAATCAATTGTGTGTGTGTGTGTGTGTGTGTATTTTTTTAAGACTACGGTTTTAAATTGTTCTTTAGTTTTTTGTGCATAGGACATTGATATCTTTTTTCTGCTAGTACTTCTATGATGTTCTTTGATTTAAAGATTTAGTTCTTTTAAGAATTGCCTGTGAAAATAGCTAACAATATATGAAGTTTACTTCACAGTTTGCTAAACATGTTAAATCATATTATCTGATTTATTTATCCAGATTTCCACCCCCTGAAATAGGAATTTTTAATTCTACCTTACTGTTAAAAGGGATTGAAGTCCCAGGTTAAGCAATTTGTCTTTTTTTTTTTTTTTTTTAAGATTTATTTATTTATTTATACAAGCACTGGATACAGTCAGAAGCGCAGGACAGTGAGAGAATTCACTAGAGCCAGAGCGGAGAGCAGAGCAGGCAGAAGGACCGAAGCACACTGCTGAGGGGAGCAGCGGGTGGCAGGAGAGGCCTGTGAGCCATGTGGGACCCTCCTCCCATGGGGGAGCAGCCGGGGATCGAACCTGCGCTGCAGAGGCTGCAGGCAGCTTCGCAACCCAGCGCTCAACCGCTGCGCCACCGGGGAGGCCCTAAGCAATTTGTCTTAATGTGATTGATATCATAACAGTTCAAACCCAATATTTGAATCTATACGTTCTGATTCCCAGTAACCTTTACCCATCCATGAATGGCTCATTTCCCCACTAAAGCTTAAAAAGACTACAAACAGTTGGTACATGTCAACATGTTATTTCCTCCTCAGTTTAAAGGCTACATAACAGAGAAATACCACTGTGAGACTGAGGAAGTTAGTCATTATGGAACAGAGTTAGAATGAGGAACACCAGGATGTTGATTGAGTTATGAAAGTCTTTATAAGTTTTTTTTTTAGTTAGTAAAATAAAACTGTAAGAAGGAATGTTCCATTCCAATAAATAAATATTCATTTGATTTTGTTATTTAAAAGGTCTTAAATTACTCTTCTGAGGTACAACTTGGAGTGATTTGTAATTAAGATACTTTTCAGATTAGATTTTAGTTGTGGGAAAAGGTATGAAGGTTAAGGGAAAGGTCACTTAGAAAAGATTTCTTAAAGGAAATGAGTCATTATCGAGCCTTAAAAGAAGCATTGGGAGGAAGGATAGGGATAGAATACTGCACTCAGGAGATATGTTACAGACAGAGGCACAGAAGGAACATTTATGTTACAGATCCCCCAAAATGTGTGGGTCTGGACACCCTGTAGGAGGAAGAATTCACCAAAAGTTTCAGGTGAACTAAGGCAAGGCTGTAATTGGAGGCTTGTGAAGGAACCAGTGCCAGTGAAGGAGAATTTTGGCCTGACTCCGTGGGGAAGAAATGTTTAAAGAGTTGGTCCAAGGAAGTAGTGAAGGATGAAGTCAGATGCCAAGGTAGAATGGAATCATTTGATGAAAGGATCTGAGTTTTGTTTTTCTTTTTTCAAAGCTTTCATTATTTCTTTATTTTTACTATATTTCCCATCTTTTTAGCAACAGTTTTTAAACAACTTTAACATACAATATTTTATTTTCAGTGTCTCTTTGTGGCCCTTTTCTCTATACATATGTAATCTTAATAGTTGTAATCATAGGGTATAATTTTGTAGAGTCATTTTCACTTAAAATTATCTTTGATTCACCTCTATAACTCCACACAATGTTAGCATGTGTACATGTTTGCTTAAGAATTTCTGGACAGTGGAATGTATAATTTATTAGAGTAATAGGAAGATATTTTTTTAAAAAAATATGAGTCTCTTTTTTAAAGATTTATTTTTGTTTATACAAGAACTGGGGTACAGAGGCACAAGAGGGTGAGAGGATCCACCAGAGACAGAGTGGGGAGCAGAACAGGCAGGTAAGCCAAAAACACTGCTGAGGGTAGCAGCAGGCAAGGCAGGAGAGGTCTGCCACACCATGTGGGTATCTCCCTGGCCGGACGGGAATTGAACCCGCACTGCAGAGGCTGCAGACAGCCTCACAGCACTATATTCAACCCGCGGTGCCACTGGGGAGGCCCTGAAGACATTTTTCTAAATAGATACTCTGAAACCGAGAACTCGAGAAAACAAAAATTAGAATAATAATTCCTACTGTCATTTGTTGAACTTTTACTGTATGTCAGAAGCTTTTATGAGCAATTTCTGTAATCTTTATAAAATATCATTTGTAGTGTATGCTCCTTTTGTGGATGAGAAAGGATGGACACAGAAAAAATAATTTACCTCAAATTATACTTGA